GTACTTCCACGTGTCATTTTGGAGAAATCTGCAACAACGTAAATGCAAAGAATGAAATACCACTGCTGGCGAGGGTGCGCGCTCCAGAGCGTGACCATAACTCAGCCTTTAAATCATATGGATGAGACGATTCCATTGGTCATGATTCAGCTTTGGGTGGACTGACACAGTCCCGATTGGTCTGCCAGCTCCCTCTGGAAAGCTCCAGTTCAACTGCTGCTGTTGCACGTGCACGCGTGGCGCACGTGGCTACTCGCTGTGTTGAGCTCCCAGAGCGCAGCAGTGCCAAACTAAAAATGACTTTTTCTCAAAACGGCTGATGAGCCACTCGTCATCAGAAAATTTTATCTGTTTAGAAATAAAAGCTCTGCGTGTTACACTATTTATTATATCCTCCAGTAAGGCTGAATCAGTTCCTGTTAAATGTATTTTTGGCACAACTTCACGCATCTTTTATTTAACTGCGTCCATGTGGATGTAATAATTGTTAATCATGTGTGTCTGGTGTGAACAATAATCATTTTTACATTATGAACAGTTTCTCAGAATCACCTCTAAGTGTCGCCAATGGAACCAAAACCACAGAAACGTGCGCCAGCCCTGGAGTTGGTGTGGGGCTGCGCACATTTCCACATTCAGTTGAGTTTTGATACATCCGGAGTTTTGCGCAAGGTTTTTGTGCGTACGCACCATTGATACATGAGGCCCCAGGTGAACATCATGCTGTGTCTTTATGTTTAAAACCTTCAAAGTGAAAATTAGGATGTTCTTTTTGTACTGTGATTGTAAAACATGAGAATGAGAGTACCAGATGAGCACTCAGACATGCAAAATGGCTGCTTAGTTTAGTAAAAAAAAAACATGAACCACACCTGTGTGAGTATATTATTTGCTCTTGGTCACTTTAAATGTACTTAAACCCTTTGTAAAACTTTGTCATGTAGGGTTTTTCAAACAACCATAATAATTAAGTCTGGGTCTAAAAGAAAATGAAAAAAGTGCTTAACATTTTCAAATACTCACAAGCCAAGAAGCAGTCCATGCTGAAAGAGATGTTGTCAACAGAGATGGTTGAACCAGGTCCAGGTCCATCTTCTGCACTGAACTGGAGCCAGAACCTGAGGAGGGGTGAAACGGTTTTTAACACAACTTGTTTGGATTGCTTCAGGATGAAATAGGATAGGGAAGATTTTATTTTGCCAGCTTTTCTTTAACTGGCAGAGAATTGGCTTTGGGAGGTGTGAATGGAGTTTTCTGACATCTCAGTCAGTGATTTTACCACCCTGAACTCCCAGCACTGAAAAAAAAGAGCAACTTGACTTCTTTGAGAACAAAATACTAATTTTTAGGCTCTGGATCAAATATAGTTGTGGTTATATAAACATTGAAGAATAATTCTGTGTACTGATAGAGTTAATTCCCTTCGCTTTACTTTGATTAGTTATATATCAACATTTACAGTCTACATTCAGTTTACACTCTGCTGCTTCTTCATCTTTGCCGACGCTTTTTACTGCATTTGCAATTAGAAATCAAGCTTACAAATCACCTTTCAGTAACGGTTGTTATAAACCTCCAAGTGTTAATTCAACTAAATATTTAGCGCAGCTCACTGACATTATAAAAGGCATAAAATCAAAAGAGTTTGTGATTCTTGGTGATATCAATATGAATTGGGCTGATAAAACTTCCAAAGAAAGCAATGTCAATAAACTAAGGGATTTAACAGTTAATTAAAGTACCAACAAGATTTGGCAAGACATGCAATTTCATTTTGGATCGAGTATACTCTCAACCATGTCGTACTGTTTACCTGTTTGCTCTCTTACAACAAATGCAATCTTAGAACCCATAGTT